AAAAGTTAACAGAAACAAATCATTTTTAATACATGTTATCACTTTAAACTTGCTTTTATGAAAAACTAAATAAGAAAGTTAGTGTATTCACTTACAGGTTTGCCTTAAATGAATAATGCAGAAACTTAATTAATCAAAACTCAGATAATTAGAATTCTATTATAATTAGTTAAGTGAATGTTGAGACTGAAAATGGCAGATTGTTACACTTGTATAATATAGAATTCTAGAATGTTTATAGGTGGCAAACAGCTAAGCAAGCCAATAACATGGCTTTTTTCATTGTGCAGCAGTTATGTTTTTGACTTGCTTATTTAGCTATTTGTCACTAAGATGCAGCCCTAAACTCATCTCAACCAAGTTGATATTGATGTAGACGACATGTTGTCACAAAAATCACTCTGATAGGTTAACTATCAAAGAACACCAATATATTTACACATAAGATAGTTCCATCAAAAAAATCAATTACAGGCATCCTTACATTATAAAATTATTCACAATAAGCAACAGGATAATATTTTGTTTATTCTAAATCTTTGACTAATAAAATATTGCAAAACATATGTAACAGAATCAATAATAAACATAATAACATAAACCAAAACAATGATCTTATGAAGGAAGGAACTGTATATAAAATTGAATACAATTGTAACAACTCTAGAATTTATATAGGAGAAAATGGACAGAAAAAAGAATTAAAGAGCATGAGGCAGCAATACACCTAAAATATATTAATTCACCATGGTTTCAACATTCGACAAGTAATAATTGTATAATAAATATAAATATAATTAAAATTCTACATAATGAAAATGATATATATAAAAGACAATTTAAAGAACATATAGAAATTTTAAAACATCCCAGAGAAAAATTAGTTAACATATCAGATGGCATGACCCTCAATTCACAATGGTACCAGGTAATAGAGGATGCTCTTCCACATACAATATAATTGATAGTGTTGTAATAATTTATTGGTTTAAGTACTAGTGTGAACATTACAATAAAACTTGTGTTATACTTGTGAACCTATATAAATATGTGTTACAATAGAAATATTTTAAGTACATGTTTCCTTTGACTATCAATATAATGAAAATTATATTTTACAATTTTATCACACTCATACAGCACTCCAACTATGCAAGCAAGCCATTGTAATCTGTTGCCTTCATCTTTGTAATTTGTATAAAAATTATGAATGGATGTAATAATTATTTTTTATATTGTATTTAAAAGATATTTCTGATATAGATTATAAACACAATTTTTACCGATTTGTAAAGTATTGACCTTTCAGCAGAGTGGGAACAAAAGAGGCACGACCTTGTCAATTGGACCCACGTGCGGTCGGGTAATACCACTTGTAAGGTATTGACTTGTAAACAAGGGAAAACAAAGGAAGCGCCGGCTTTGTTAATTGGACCCACCTGCAGTGAGACGGTAGTACAATTGCCATATTGTAAACGAACGAATGTAAACAAGTGGCAGACGTTTGTGTAAGCTCCACTCTCGTCGGATGACGGTGGACCCGAGTGTAAGCTGTTCGGGCAAGAAGGGATTGTGATTGATCGGAAGTGCCTGTCCAAAAAACCCTTAAATTGCGGGGCGAACGAGAGAGGTGAGAGAAGGGCAAGAGACTGGTACACGGTAGTCGCAGACACTTGGGAAACCCACTGAGCGTAGAGAGAGTGTTCTCTGTTAATCATCTCAGGGACGGGTTAGTGCAGAGACCGGACAGACCGTGCAGTTGAGCCAAATCCACAAGCTGACTGAGGTCTCTCCAAAGGTTATTAGTTCCCAGACGCCAATCTGGCACGTGAATCACCACGCATGGTCATCCTGTACATATACTATGTTTTCTAACTTGTACTTTCTACAACTGTAAATATATTCAATTTGAGTGTAGAGGTTTGCTTTCCAACAAACCTGATTCACTACATCAAGTCGTGATACACAGGAAACCAACTCAATGAGACGGAGTTGGAAAAAAACATTCACAAAGATCATCACTCAATTTATATATTTTTTTAAGATTTTATAATTGTACAGTAGAGCATCAACTATCTGAATCAATTTGGAACTGGGGTTGTTCAGAAAATTGATTTTTCGAATAACCAATTATGTACAAAAAAATATATTAAACTATCCCATGTTAAAATTTGTTCAAATCATGACACATCCTTAAGTACCCTCTCATGGTTGTGCCAGTGCTGCCAGCTAAAACACACACACCAACAAAAATAATATTGGAGTAGCTCAAGACATAGCCAAAGATTGCAGTGCCACAGCACTAGCAGAAATTTAAATTTGCTGACTGGAAAGCTTTCAGTTGATCGACATTCAGATAATTGATGCTCTACTGTATTTATACGAAAATATTGAATGTGTAATAGAGTTTTAAATAATTTTCTCTCCAAGACATGTAAGTAAATATAAAAATCATATTGTAAATAATATATTTTTTATTGTTAATCACAACATTGTCAAGTCTTATAATCATATCATTGTCTTTGATAGCACTGAAGAGGGGCTGTGAAGTCACAACAGCCTGAAATGCATATGATGTATAATCTGTTTAAAATTATGCTGCAATAAAGTCTTGAAAGTTGATTTTTCCACAGCAACACCCTAGCTTGGTGTTGCTGTGGGAAAATCAACTAATACAGATTAAAGTGATTTTACATACATCTATATTTTAAAACTGTTAACACATGAAAACTAAAAACAAGTACACACTAATAAAAATTCAAATCATGAGGGAACAGGAAATTCAGTTCTGTTCAAGATTGCTGAGTGCAAAGTATTGTTTACCAAACACAAGAAAGGTAAGCCATTAAGCAGTGGTAAAAGACAGATTTTTTTGAATGTTTATATCACTTTCCATCTTGATTATTATGAATAATTTTATAAACTAAGGACTCCTGTAAATGAATTTTTTGATGGAACTGTATTGTGTGTTGTAAGTATATTAGTGTTCTTCTGTAGTTTACCTATCATGGTAATTTTTGTGATGTGATGTCATCTACATCACTATCAACTTAGTTGAGATGAGAGTGCATTAAATATACATATATCTTTGTTTAGCACTATAGTGTGGTTGATATATTAACTGTTGAAAATAAAGTGTAGTGTGGTGTAGCATTTATTTATACCAAATTATTATTATTGTACAAATTAAATACAGTAGAACCCCTCTAGTCCGCCCTCGGCTAGTCCATCACTCCGGTTAATCCGACCGTGGTCGGAGTCGAAAAACTTGTCCCGATTCGTCAGTGACTCACCGTCCGTGGTGTTCTTGTGTTCGTTAGAGTATATGTTTTACATTGTGTGTACAGTACGTGTAGTTTTGTGTGTGTTTTCAACATGTCAGGAGTTAAACGTAAACACATTACTCTTTCATTAAATGAAAAATTAACAGTGCATAAAGACTGGACAAAGGGAAGATTGTTTATTTTACTTTTTTCTGATAATCCGACCTTTTTTTGCATTCCGACCATATCCCCAGTCCCAAAGGTGATGGACTAGAGGGTTCTACTGTAAGTTCAACAAGCATTAATTCTAGTTGAACTATTTGTGGTAGTGTATAGGAGTTATGAAATGTGGTGCTCATCAATTGTTAGGTATGATGATATATTTGTCGAAATTAACTTTATTAAGCTATCATAAACATGAAAATAGTGGAAAGAACATTTTATAAATGATTCACATTTTTCAACACAAATGAAATTGTTTAAAAATGCTATCAAAAAGAATATGTATTACAAGTTTTGCTTATCAAAATTTTTTGTTTATGACAACTTTACAAAGATACAGGTATTTTACCAAAACTAGTATAGCTTATTTACATGTAAGATTAAACTTATTGGGAACAACATAATATATATGTACTGTATATGTAATGAGAATAGAAATGTTTTGGAATCAGTAACTATAATTTTATAAAGTTTTATATTTCGATGTTTATTAAATTTGCATTTAATACAAATATATAAAATTTTATAAAAAAAATAACTGTAGCATATTACACAGCATCTATGCCGAAAAATTCAAAATTTTGACTTTGATATAATAATTAAAGCCAAATTTTCTATTTGGAGATGCATGTTTTGAAAAATGTTTATTTCAAAATTTTGATTTGAACTAACCTTTTCACAGAACACATTTTTAAACAAGAAATTTGGCTTCTTCATACATTCATATTTTAATAACATTCTTTTGAAAACACAAAATATTATCCCTGAAAGTATTTAGCATTAAAACCTTTTTGATTCCAAGAATGTATATTTTTTAGTTTTTTAAGAATATAGAAGTATTGAGAATAATATATGACTTAATACATGTCAGCAATAAATATTGTGATCTGAAGAAGTATAAAATAAAAATAAAGCTCTTAAGTGTTCAAACAATGTGACCTCATTCTGTAGCATTTGATATTTGTGAAAGAATAAAGTTAACTTCAGAAATTTCATGTTTAATTCATTCTAAACTGAAAGCAATGTTATACTTATTTTCTTGAGAATAATGAGTGATATACTGTATATGCCAACATATAAAATTGACTTTTTAAGCATAAACAAATCAATATAAAAAATAGCGGTTGACTTGTATGATGGGTATAAAATGTAACCCTTTACTCTTATAGAAAAATTAATTCCACATATGTTCATGATCTTTATTTAAATTGTTCTTGACAAACTGTAGATTCTCATGTATATTATTTTTATAAAAATTAAAGAAATTAAAATTCCTATTGTGTGTTTTCTTCGAAAAAAAAAAAATACTTAATTCATTACTATCTAATTAAACTTATATTTCAATTAGCAATTTTAAAAACTTTTCACCAAAAATATCACTCTTACTGAAAAAAACAGCATGTTAGAAGATATTATTCTTCAATAATCATATTTAGTCATATTAAACACGACATTAATAATAATATTTACGAAAGATATTAAAAAAGAACGAAGTCTCGACAGCGACCAACTTACTCGATCGTTCCTTGTTGGAGACCATACAAGACAAGTACACGTGGTCGATAAATGCGAACTCGGTGTATATTCGTGCATTAGTATACCAGTTTCGGTATTCCATATTTTTAATCTTCCATCTATACCTGCATAAGCCAAATAAATTCCTTCCCGTGACAACGAAAGACGTTTCAAATTAGTCGCCATTGCCTCTTAGCCACATGGAAATTGTAAAATATAAACTGCCAGATGATGGCTTCTTCTAACGATAAGCGACATGTTTCTTTATAGCCAAAAATCCTCACATTGACTGTTTTACTTCAATTATTTTATCCCATATCATAATATTTATTAATTTTATTTTAAATTAATTTTTTATTTCTGAATAACTAAATTTCAGGAGTAAAGATATATTGTAATTTAACTTTTTTGATTTTGAAAAAATTCATTTTATACGTATCTTAAATCATTTCTATCGTGTAACTGCGACTCTATGGAGAATCGATTATTCTGTAAATTAATTTGCTTTCCGAATTAAATGAAATCTTTCCCAAGCATGATTAAAACCAGAATCTTCTGAAGAAATTAGAAATTCTTATAAGCGTTTGTCTACCCAAAGCCTGGCCAACTTATAATGGGGTGAAATTGACTTTCAAGAGTCAAACGCATCGACAATCTATTCCACATTTTTCTTTCGTGACAGCTTAATAAACCATTCTAATGAAATTGTTTTGCAAAACGTAATTGTATTTACGTATTGCACAGTAATTAACGTTCAAGGCTACCTATTTTTGGTAAAGACATCATTTGTTTTTCACCGCAACAATGTTTTTGTTGTGGGAGAAATTTTGTGTGATAATAAAGCGTTTATATTTTTGCAACAGAATGTATAAACTGCGTGGGAAGTATGTTCTCGTAAATATCGCGTTTAGAGAAAAGTTATTGAGTTGCAATTTGAAAAAATTGTAGATATAAATTCCGACTGTTGTCTGCCTGTGTATCTATCTGTCCGTCTTTCCTCAATCTCGAGATAAAAGTCCAGGCTAGATTTAGAAAGCTTCGGGCAGGAGGTCCATATTAACTAAATACGAACTTTCGGTTTTGACTAGAAGACGTTACTTCAATTCAAAATTTTTCTCCAACGGAGTTAGATAGATAACCGGCACGACTCTATTGCTAACAGGAAAAGTATAGTGTACACCAGTGTTTCTCAACCTGTAACGAATCGTCGCCCTCTTCAACGTAGTATCGCCCCCTTCACTTCAAAATTCCGATGCCGAGGGCCAAGGCTAACGCCAAATTCGTACTACATTGAATAGACTAGTGACTAGTATAATGTTATTTGTTTAATTATTGTACGATATAACGAATAAAATATCTAATTATTCTTAATATAATGTTTTACTATATCGTCCAGAAAATTGTTTTTCGCCACCCAAAATATAAATTGTTACAAATCACCCCCTCAACATGGAAAAACGCCACATGGGGGCTATATCGCCCCCGTTGAGAAAGACTGGTGTACACGAACAAGACACCATTAAATAAATTGAAAACATTGTGACAAAAAATTGCAGCCTAGCATTGTGACGATGTCACCATAATTGCTCGTTAGAATTACTGTAGTTTGGTTTATTTGAGGAAGCAACGCGACACGTGAGCGATCTGCTGAGAGAGATGCATCCCGGGAAGACTTTTATAGGAAGTTGGACCCTATTTAGGTGTTACTAATGTGAAGAAAGCCCGGAAAACATTACGTGGTCAGACTGTTGGCGATGCCCGAACCTATGACTAACTAACTATAGTGTTAGTCGTGGGTTCGGTGGTTTTATCCACTCGGCTCCTGGAGGACACTTATTAGAATTAAGAAAGTACCGTTCAGAAATGAGAAAACCCGAGTTGTTCGATGTGAAAAATTAAATACTCATGTAGTACTTACTATAGACTTTTCACAAAGTAACACTTTCGATTCCACGCAGTCAAGTGCTGTGTTACCTGTCACAGTAATGATATAACGCTAAATAGACTCGCTATATCATCACTAGTAGGCCGGGACGTCCGCTAGTTGCCGTTCTAGGCATACTGTGACAGATATACAGTAAGATCCCGCTTAACGCTGCTTCGCTTAACGCTGATTCAATATAACGCGGTCTGCTTGACGCCTAAAAAACGCTCAAAATTTACGCTGATTCAAAATAACGCGGAATTTCATTGATTCGTATATAATACGATAATTCCCAAACACGAACCAATCAGCAAAAGACGGCAATTTGTCATAGTGCCGTACTTTCCTTAAATCTATGTTTGTTTTGTGCAATTTTGGAAAAAATATAACATCATGGATGCCATAGGAAATATCAACTTGGCTTGGCAAGAATTAACTGATAAATGCATGAACAAAGTGTGAAAGAAGTTATGACTGAAGGTATCCAAGAATTCTCAATGAGAAGAGCCTATCGCTGTATCGTTACGTTGACAAAATTGTCAACTTAATCGATACAGGAGATGTAGACGAGCAGGATATTGGGGCAGGATATTTACTGCAGGTTTCTGGTAAGAGCCTTATAAACGATGACTTCAAGAAGTGGCAGAACAAGAAATTCATGTAGAACTTCTGAAAACGAAGAACCCAAAGAACTTGCTACAGATTTCTTTAGTAAAAGTTTGGTAACGATAACCGAAATCGTTGATCAAATTGTAGCGAATGATCTAGATTTTGAAAGGAGTGCAAAAGCAAAANAGGCGGGCCGCCCCTGCCGCCCCCACAATGCTACGCCACTATCAGTAGCAGAAGATCGCAAAATTTCATAATAAAGACGGCAAAATTTCATAATAAATAATAATAATACTGTATCTTGTAAATATTTGAACCATTTCATTTCATATTTTTGTTGCACCTACGATTCGGACCGATTGAAATGAGCACGGAATTTTTCATTACTTATTCTGTGACAAAACTGAATTTTAATCTTTGAGATACCTAAATAAAGGGCGGCGAAATTTTCCTCCGCCCCGAGCGGCTGACACCCAATCTACGCTACTGGCTACTGACATTTGCTTAAGGAGAGAAAAAAGCGGCAAATGAAACTTCACGACTTTATTGCAACTTCGTCACAAAAAATGAACTAATTAATATATTATTATACATTTCTGTGCGCATTTGCCTATGTGTTATTTAACATATATTATTATACAGATTAATATAAAATAACTTAAAATTAAAGAAAATTTTTTAAAAAATTTTATTTTCGGTCACGTCTCTATAGTCCCTATAGGGATAGGGGAACACGCGACCGAATTTACTCTATGTTAAAATGGTCTTGTTTAACGCTGTTTCGCTTAGCGCTTTGTCGCCTAGGAATGCATCCTCCGCGTTAAGCGGGGTCTTACTGCGCAAACAGAGTTACTAATGGCTTATATATAGATATCATTATATTATTGTCCCAGTAATTAAGTAAATATAATATATATTTTTAAAATTATATTCCTTTTTGTAAGAATTATATTTAGTTTATTGTTTTCTTAAATTTTTTGCCAATAGATGACGCTATGTGTAAAGCCATCAAATCGAATGTAGATAAAATTAATTGATTTATAGCAATCGAATTGATATTTTGGAGTGGGATTCCGACATTATCCAATTTAGAGTATGTGAACGTATTTGCCGAGTTTCATAACAATTGGTCGAACGATTTAGGATTGTATAACCAGCAAACAAACCAACATACTCACACACACATATATATAATATATATGCAGCGCAATTCCTATAATATATATAGAGAGAGATTACAAGAGTCGCGCTTCACGACACCAAAAAAATAGCCGCTTGGCGATATTTTTATTAATGTGTCGATAAAAATCAGGATTTTGGAAAAAATATAACATCATGGATGCCATAGGAAATATCAACTTGGCTTGGCAAGAATTAACTGATAAATGCATGAACGGAGTGTGGAAGAAGTTATGGCTGAAGGTATCCAAGAATTCTCAATGAGAAGAGCCTATCGCTGTATCTTAAGTTAATAATTTGGTCAACATAACTCGATACAGGAGATGTACTGTAGATGAGCAGGATAGTGGGGAGTTACTGCAGGTTTCTGGTAAGAGCCTTACCAACGATGACTTCAAGAACAAGCAGAACAAGGAATTCATGTAGAACTTGAAAATGGAGATGCTGAAAACAAAGAACCCAAAGAACATGCTACAGATTTCTTTAGTAAAAGTTTGGTAACGATAACTGAAATCATTGATCAAATTGTAATGAATGTTCTAGAATTTGAAAGGAGTGCAAACGCAAAATGAGGCATTTTGGATGCAATCTTCTGCTACCAACATTTGCTTAAGGAGAGAAAAAAAGCGACAAATGAAACTTCACGACTTTATTGTAAAATACAAGATTTTCAGAAAAGTCAGCACCTTCATCACAAAAAATGAATTAATTAATATATTATTATATATTTCTGTGTGTATATGTTTATGTGTTATTTAACATATATTATTATACAAATTAATATAAAAATAACTTAAAGTAAATTTTTTTTTTCGGTCACGTGTTCCCCTATCCCTATTTACTCTATGTTAAAATGGTCTCGTTTAACACTGTTTCGCTTAGCACTTTGTCATCTAGGAATGCATCCTGCATTAGGCAGGATCTTACTGTNAATATATATAGAGAGAGATTACAAGAGTCGCGCTTCACGACACCAAAAAAATAGCCGCTTGGCGATATTTTTATTAATGTGTCGATAAAAATCAGGATTGTGGAGTCGCGTAAAAATCTACCGACTTCGACTCCGACTCCGACCAGCGGACTGCTTACCGAAATTCAGACCCGGAAATTCTGATGTCATCACGTGACCTCATAATAAATTTTCGGGGGTGGTCCGTTCGGATACGTCGGGCCACGTCCCTCACCACCTGGTCGCCCCATAATGGACCTGCTATAAAGGCGAGAACATCTTAACGGGTTTTACTGTACTATTATAAAATGACAAAAAAGTTTACTTTGAGGGTAGAGACGAATTTTATTTATTTATTTATTCTTTAATTTTGAACGCTAATAACGAGTAAAATATTCATTACGAGATATGACACATGACCACTTTTATGTCTTCACCCCGTCGACCTTTAATTAAGAACCAAAATTTAATAGTATTAATGCCCCTTTATACGCAAGCAACAGTGCCACATTTTGTTTCTTAAACTTTACCCATTCTGAGATATTGTTTAATATCTCAGAACAGAAAATAAAAAAATT